GTGTTTCGTATGGTGAGTGTAGAGAACCGGAGACCCTTTTTACTGGTAAAGAGGCATTCCATCTTAGTCCTCACGGGTGACAACGCATCTGCATCTTGAGTCTTTACTGAGGATAGATGTAGATGTCTATGGGTCACAGTAACCACTTACCATCAGGTGGACTGTGTGCTCGTTTGTCACCCGATCCTATAAAAAAAAAACGTAGCTAAGAATACTCTAGATTAAGACACAAAAAATCGGTTCAACCTTTCAGGAGCAATGATGCGTTTACGTGGTAGAGCCATGCTGCAGCTATATTCCTGGTATAGTTGTAACACGAATGGGTCGGCTCGACCGGGGAAGGACCACTCTCTCACAGAATACCAGCGTATATAGAAGTTTAACGCTGCTGTGTTTCGTATGGTGAGCGTAGAGAACTGGAGACCCGTTTTAACTGGAAACGAGGCATTCCGTCTTAGTCCTCACGGGTGACAACTAACAACGCATCGGCATTTTGATTCGTAATCGAGGATAGATGTACATGTCTATGGGCCACAACAACCACTTATCATCACACTACAAACTTATAACACTCCTCTGTTTCGGTAGTTAAAAATACAGTGCAAACCTAGTGGTTACTTGAATGACCGACGACGAGGTTTGCCACCCATCACGTTCTGTCTCCCGGAGGGGCGAAAAATGGATTGTCTGGCTACGCACAATGTTTCTGGGGCCATGAATGATGAGATGGATGAGAGCTATGCGATATGATGTATGATAGAGGAATAGATGTGTTATGTGTAAATGAGGCAAAACGGAAGGGAAAGAATGCCACTACACATGGCATGTATACCGCGTACTGGTCTGGTGTAGACGAGGCCGAGAGAGAGTCGGTATCATCCTTTCAGATAGAATGGATCAATGTGTGAAAGAGTATGAATGTGTAAGCCAGAGGTCATTAAAAGAAAGGGGAATGAAAGTGAACGCAAGTAAGAAGAAAGTTATGGTTTTCGAAACAGAAGAAAGTAAAACGATATGGGAAATTAGAATGAAGGGGAGTTAGTCGACCATATAGATGAGTTTGTGTATTTGGTATCTGTATTTAGCAGGTATGGTAGATATGATAAGGATATAGAAGGACGAGTGAACGCAGGGAATAGAGTAAATGGGGCTCTACACTACTGTGGAAAGTCAGAATGTGTCAAAAATGCACGTATAGCTATTCACAGTGTTGTGTTAGTCACAACTTTAATGTATGATAGTAGAATTTAGGTGTGGCAGAAGAAGCACGAGAGTAGAATAATTGCTGTAGAAATGCGGTCATTAACGAGTATGTTAGGGCTGAATCGGAATGGCAGAGGAGTGTGGTTTGCAAGATGATGGTGTGACCAGGATTAAGAAAGGAATATATCGGTGGTTTGGTCATGTAGAAAGAATGAATGAGGAAAGAGTGACAAAGCAAATTTATGTTGCACAATTGAACGGTAGAGTCGTGAAGGGACTCCCTAGGCGAATGTTTATCGACCAAATTGACGATATATTGAAAATGGGCCAAATTAAGAGTACCCTTAACCGACGAGCATCTATGCGTAGGTATATGCATGGGGCGAAGGCGAGCTGTGTCAGGATCGTGCCAAATGGAAGTCCGTAGTTTTCGCCTACCCCTCTGGGTGACAGGCGTGAGTGTTTATGTATGTATTATGTATAAATTTTACACGTAGTAGAGACACGCTGCAGCTATATTATGGTTGAAGCACGAATGCTAAACCGGTCCCATCACAGAAGAGCAGCTTAAAATAGCAGCTTAAAATAGCAGCTTAATTCTAATGTGTTTCGTATGTTGAGTGTAGAGAACCAGATACTCTTTTTAGTGAAAACAAGGCATTCCATCTTATACCATAGAGGTGAAAATGCATCTGTTTTTTGATTCTGTGTATTTTATATTTGGATTTGATAACCTTTTCAATGAATATAGATGACAAACAGGCACACAGTCATCTTGATGGTAGGTGGATGTTGTGGCCTATAGGACATCTACATCTATCCTCGATGAAGAATCAAAATACAGATGTCACCCCTGAAGACTCGAGATGTAATCATTTGTTTCCAGTAAAAAGGGTCGTCGTTTCTCCACACTTACTATACGAAACAAAGCAGCATTTAGGAGTTATTCTACGCTGGTATTCGGTGAGAGCGTGGTCCTTCCCTGGTCGAGCTGGCCCATTCGTGCTACAACCGTAGCATAGTTGCAGCATGGTTCTATAACTAATAAAACGTATGGCACGTATCTTGGACAAGGCACTGATCTTGGAAGGCTTTTTGTTCCCAAGTGAACTATTCACGAGCTGACTATGAAGGTAATAATGAATATAATTATTCAAACGTTTTACAATTCAGACTAAAGTCACAATTACACCAGATGGCGTCACGACCCTTCTACTACTTGCATAGCAGTACTGGTTGAAGTTGCGCACTGCATTTTAAATATATTTCAATGGTATTATAGCCTTCCAACATTTATAATGAAAAAACAATAAGTAAGTATTACAATTAGACTAAATAACCTTGGTGCACGGATTTGCGGAATAATTGCAATCTAAATGCGAGACGTGGCAAAAAAACTGGAGCCAGCTGTTAAAGTATAAAATAGGGAAATTTTAAATAAGAAATAAGATTTAACTTTCATGTTTTTTTTATAATTTTATAATATATATTGAATAGGTTTTATTTTGGCATACAATATTTTTACCAAGTTACAAAAAATTAGGAAAACAATTTTTTAGGGTTCCGTACCTCAAAAGGAAAAAACGGAACCCTTATAGGATCACATTGTTGTCCGTCTGTCTGTCTTTTTTTTATAGAATCAGGGTGACAAACGAGCACACAGTCCACGTGATGGTAAGTGGTTGCTGTGGCCCATAGACATCTACATCTATCCTCGATTACGATTCAAAATGCAGATGCGTTGTCACCCGTAAGGACTAAGATGGAATGCCTCGTTTGCAGTAAAAAGGGGTCTCCGGTTCTCTGCATTCACCATACGAAACACAGCAGCATTAAGCTGCTATTTGACGCTGGTATTCTGTGAGAGCGTGGTCCTTCCCCGGTTGAGCCGACCCATTCGTGCTACAACTGTACTATTAATATAGCTGCAGTATGGCTCTACCACGTTTAAAATCCACGTCTGTCTGTCTGTCAAGACCCTTTTTCTCAGAAACGCGTGGAGGTATCAAGCTGTAATTCATATCAAATACTCAAGTCTACTGTCCCTTGGAGCTGTGAAAAAATCAAACTTCTAAGCCAACGCAATCAAAAGATACAGCCGTTTATGCCGCAAATTTTCGACATTCGCAAGGGAATCAAAACCTACAGGGTACTTCCCGTGAACTCAGAATCTTAAAATTTGGTACGAAGCAACGTATTATAGCAAACATAAAGGAAAAATTACGAAAATCATAAATTTTTAGTAACATCAATATTTTTAATAATTTTAAACTTATAAACCTACGGATTTGTTCGGAACCCTCGGTACGCGAGTCCGACTCGCACTTGGCCGGTTTTTTTTTAATAAAACAGAAATTGTATTCAGCGTTATCAAACTCTACTTTGAAGGAGCGTGGCTAGTAGGCGAATAAATCGTCGTGTAGTGGCGCCCATAATATCATCCCGCGAGTGTCGTAAAACGTGACAGAGGGAAACTGAAAACGAGGAGATGATCAGTAGCATCTTCCTGATTATAAAAACTGCGGTTGCCAACCCGCCGGCCAAACGTGGCAACTATGGCAAATATCCCCTTTATAAGTCAAACTAGGCATCCCACAGCCAGTGCTGAGCAGTGGACTTTGATAGGCTGTACCTGTAATGATGATGATAATTATGAATAAAACATAATAGCCATTATTATGGAGTCTTCCATCACAGTCGCAACCAACAAAATTAATGAAAAAAATATTCAACAAAAACTTGAATTTACGTAAAATGAACCCTAATTATTAATCGTCGATCGTAAGGCGTTTTCCCGGAGACAAAGATTAAGTAAATAACTACGTTTACCCAGAAAACTACATCTGACTACATCTATGCTGTATTCGTGATTTTTCACATGTTTTACAGCAGTATAATTTTAGAGATACGGTTGTAGTAGTAGGGTTAGCTGCATATAATTATTTTAAATTTAATTATCTAGGTGAAATTCGATCGGGAAAAAAATCTATGAAAGACAGACGAGCAGAAACCAGAAAGACACTACAGTGATTCCAGTGTTTCAATCTTCTAGGTATATAATATTTATACGGAACCCTAAAAACCTGTAATAGATTTTTGCACGCAAATGGTGTTTTGTTATTGTCACGTGGTTAACATTCGCTACTATTTAATGTACAGGGTCACGAAATAAAACAGATGTGAAAAATCTTATTGGAATAAATAGAACATAAATATTAAAGCCAGAAACTCTTTTATAAATAAGTAACGTTTAGAAATAAACGGATTTTTATAAATAATAATACACGAAAATAAATTTACTAAATGTACTAAAACTAGAAGACAACTCACCGATAGTACACTTGCACAAAGTTGAATGACTAATGAGTTGAATGAACACAGAATGGATGGCAAAGATTAGTTCATTCCCTAGTGACGCTGAATGTACATTCACTAAGAAATTTTCGTTTAGAAATAGATTTAAAGTTTTGCGTCCAATATTATATTTGTAACATAATCTCTAAATAACGCTGACTTCACTGTTTTATTAACAATTCCTAAATATATTTACAAAAAAATGATAAAGCTTTAAATTACTCATTTTCGTACATTAAGCCAGCAAAGATTTAAAACTTGCTTATCACAAAATATTTTTGAACAACACTGACCTGACAGTTGGCACTTATTAAATTATTGAATTTGGCATTTGACTTTGACATTTACGGTGGTACTAGCACGTGTTTTTGTTTATGTTCTATTCGAAGTTAAATAATTAGTTCTTAAATATTTAGAAGTTAACTAACTAATTTAGTTAAAAAATGAAAGTCCTTTCGGAAGATAGAACGCGAATTTTGTTTGAAAAATTAACTAAATAGTTAGTTTTATACGTATAATAAAGTACCTTAGTTGTTTTTCTGTGTGGGACTAATTTGATATTCTTAATTGCAGCATCGGCGTAAATGTAAAACTTCTAATAGACAGACCCGATGGCACATATTGTTTTAGAGAGAAAAAAGACCGTGTGTATTACATATCGGAACGACTTTTACAGCTGGCTCAAACTGTGAAACCTGAGCATTTAGTATCCGCTGGCACGTGTTTTGGAAAGTTCACTAAAACTAATAAATTCAGATTGCATATCACTGCGTTGACTTATATAGCTCCTTACGCACCCTACAAAATCTGGGTGAAGCCATCAGCTGAGCAACAGTTCTTGTACGGTCACCATGTTATAAAAAGTGGTAAGTGTTACAGTTATCATTTCGATATACCGAAATGCTTCTTGCATAATTGTTTCTTAAATAACTAATTAATAGTGTTAGGCGTTACTCTGCGGAAATCTATTATATTAAAGTTAGTAAAATTACTTTGCATACATCAGCTCTATAAAATAAAATGATGTGTCTTACCTAGTTTGAAGAGCACCTCCCGCCCTCCCTCAATTGTGGGTACTAGTACCACTAATCTCACTAGTGCTTGGGAGTAGTGGTGCTGAGATTAGTGGTGACAAGACGTGCTTGTCAAACTAGGTAAGACACATTATTTTTTTTTATGGAGTGGATGTACACAAAGTAATTTTTACCAACTTTAATTAATTAATTTTGGTAATTATGGAACTTTGTAAGATTGGACTTATTACTAATAGAAATCTGAAAAGAAATGAACCCAAAGAAATCGTCATTTAGTCATCATCCATCAATGCACTGACTAGGTCTATTTGTGTCTATCAAAAAATTAATGAGTAAAGATATTACTGCAACATCTTCACTAGGTAACAATATATAAAACTTGTCTCCAAATGTTAGACCTTTTTTATAATTATAGTCATTCCAGAGTCTTATGTGACCCTGGGACATGGGTTGACGCTAGTAGTTCCAGTGTTTCTGTTTCATTATTAGTGAAGTTACCATCAGGCTTTTAAAGAAGCCTGATCTGATTAGGTTTAGCTTTTGATAGCATTTTGTGCATTATATTCCTCACATAGCTTCCTCCATGATGCTTTCCTAATTTATTTATTATAATTGGTTAGGGCTGCACTATAAATATCCCATTCTTTGGTTCTTTTAGCCCTATTGAATAGTTTCTTGGTCTTTTCCCTAAGCTGCTTCAGCTTAGTGTTCTGCCAAGGAACTTTTCGTGTTGAGGTCTTGGTTTTGATGAGACATTTGAGGTATGAAGCCCTTCATTTTGTGCCCTCAACAGCATATCCGCCTCTTCTGAAAAGTCAGCTTCGCTGTGGGGCAGAAAGGTAATGCCCAGTTGAGGCTTAGGCAGTTTGGTCTCGGGTATTATCGAGAGCTCTGCCGTCGGTCAGGGTTTCAGTTTTTCGCTCTCACCCACAAGCCAGTCCTGACTTGCCTTAATCAGCCACGTTACCAGAATCCAACCTGGCTTGTGGGTGAAACCCGAAAATTTTGGTCCCACTTCCCGCTGTGTTCCACAGGCTGTCTTAGCAATAGACTGCGATAGTGTCTGGTGGACCAGCCGTAACAGCTCCACACTCATAGGATTTTAATTGCGAATTCCTATATGCGTGGAGCCAGCTACGGCACTGAAACTGAGCTTCTTCTCCCCCGTTGCCAGCTTCATAGATTTCCTGGGCTGGTCTTTGGGGGAATCCTCCTCAGACCGACTGCGTTTTTTCGTCTTCGGACCTGGGGGAGGTTTGGGCAGAGGAATTTCGTCCCAGGGCTTTTGGCAAAGAGAGCGGGTCTCTTCAGCTTCTATCTCAGCTGCTATCAGCCTTCAGTACCTGTTCCGTGCTGCCCCACTAAGCTTATAAGGCCTAATGAACTTTTTCTTTTCCCCTCCCTGGTTCGTTTCCGACTGTGGTTGGGCTGCAGACGTGCCCTCCACTTCTCGGCTTGTCCCCTGTTGGGGCTAAAAGGCTTGGCTAAAAGAGCCTCTTCCAGACCTACAGACAGTTCCATCAAAGGAGAGTTAATTTTTTCCAAATGTCGATCTTTGTCCATTTTGGTCCCACAAGTAGCTAGAGAAAAATTCGGTCAGGGAAATCCTGCATGCCGGGGGAAGGGCTAAATACTACCCGAATCGCCCTGATCTCGGGTAGACACCGTCCCCCCCCCCCCCCCCCCCCACAGCCACGCATCCATCGGCAGGGTACGCTTAACACCTTGAATTGGGTTAAGATAGGAAAAAAAGGGGGTTGGATAAAAAAAATATGAGGATCGTCTGAGTGTTTCCTATTGAACCAGACCAAATAACTAAATAACAGGCGACAACCACGTGAAGGAAGAACTGCTCAGACTTGCCCTGGGGATCAACATGACCTGCGCTCTCCCTCACAGGCATTCGCCAAACTGCTCACCGGACAGGAGAGCAGAATAGGTGTTAATCTAGTCCTACTGATAATGTAAAAATGTGAGAATTAGAACTAGACTAATCCCCACCCTTAGAGAAGCTAAATGAATAGGAACATTTTTCTGTCCATCTACTATCAACTGTTTGAACTGTTATTGCTGCACTGCACTGCATTATACAGGGTTATTTTTGAAGGAGTAGCCAAATTTCAAATTTAAGTGCAAATATATAAATATTGATATACCATTATTGCAGTTTTTGAAAATACAAGTAGATAAGGCTTCTACTTTTATCTGAAACTATCTCAAATTGAATGTGATTTATAAGCAACAATGTTTTTGCATACCGATCGACCCTTACGAATGTGTGCGTGCGCAATAAAATCAGTTAATATAATGCATTACCACGTATTTTGAATTTAAAATGCTGTGTGTGATACTGGTACCTATTTCTTGGTTTATTTCTTTCTTACGGCACCCACAGGATGGTAGTAGAAATAGTAGATATCCTTTCACCGTTACTATATGGAGCAATATATCAACCATAATAATTAGATCAAAAAGTCAATAGTAATGTTATATAAGAACTTTGTACAACAATGAATAGTATGTGGTCATTTATTATTCATCCATTCATCCATCTATCCATACAAAGTCTACTGCTAAACAAAGGCTTTCTCCAAGGAATGTCACAAAACAAGATCCTGAGCAACCTGCATCCATTGACTTCCCACATGTCTTACAAGGTCATCACTGGTTCTAGTGCCCATACCTTCATTGCAAATTTTATCATGTAGAGAAATTCCCAGCATAGCTCTCTCCATAGCTCGCTGAGCAACATTGAGCTTACTCATACAGTGAATTGCATATCATCACTGGCAATTTTGTATTATATTATTATTAAATTATATTTCTATTGCCTACAGGGTTGGGTAGAATAACAGAAAATACACCAAAACATCAAGGTGTTGTCATAAATACTATGTCAGATATCCCTATTGGTTTTGGTGTGACGTCAAGGACAACCGCTGAGTGCAGACATGCTGACCCTTTGGCTACAATAGCATTTCATCAAGCAGATATAGGAGAATACATTCGTTCTGAAGATACTTTAATATAGAAATAAAATAGTTTTGAATATGATACTTTTTTATTTTCATAATATAGATAATATTGACATTGTGCTATTACTCATTAAGGCTAACTTTTTGCTGGTGGATTAGCCAAAGTATGTCTGTGTTAAACGTCTCCAACACACAAGTGGTTTGCGGTGGCGGATAACCGTGAGCCGCGGCTCTAGTCGCTGCAATAACACACCACCGCGGTCGCAGTAGTGGCCTGAAGCTCCATTCACTGTGGTGTCTGTGCTACGATCGGATGTCAGTCAACAAGGTTAACCATGACAATGACTTTTTATTCTCATTATATTCAGTAATATTATCTCATATTTTATTTTTAATCCTAATGCTTTTGTAATCAAGGTGTGAAGTATCATAAAGTATTGGATAATTTTGCACGGTTTCTATTAAAATCTCTGTATTTAGCGCCATTTTGCACGCGGTACACGCGGCCTGTTGTAAAAATTTGCAACTGACCGCGCTGCGGCCACCGGCCATCGTTGGATAGAGGCCGCACGTTCGGTACCTGGCCGAGGGGGCGGGGTATGCGGCCGCAGCCAGCCGCTGGCAGGCCGCGGCATGGCCGCACGGGTTTGTAGACTCACTTACAGTGAGTGCCTTAGTACGAGCAGAAAATACTTGCAAGTATGAAGGCATGTGCTATAATTCGAATGCGGGCAGACCTTGAAACACACCACATACGAAAATACTTGTATAGGAAAACGATCAATATATTCCTATGAATAAGAAACACAATCGTATTTTTGCGAATGGAGCATTTTTTATCGGATAGGGTGACAAACGAGCACACAGTCCACCTGATGGTAAGTGGTTGCTGCGGCCCATAGACCTCTACATTTATCCTCAATAAAGAATCAAAATGCAGATGCGTCGTCACCCGTGAGGACTAAGATGGAATGCCTCTTTTCCAGTAAAATGGGTCTCCGGTTAAAATACTATACTAGGCATACTTTGAACTTCGAAGTATTTTTTCATTCATACGGTTGTGTGCCTTATTCATCATAGGATTATACGGAATATGGATCGATTTTCTATGCAAGTATTTACAACCTTGGACGAGCGAGCGAGCAGTGCAGAGCTCGGGCGGGACGTAAAAGATTGTTGCACAACACGAACTAGACTAAATACTAACCAATTTTAAAACCTGGTTTTTTATGTACTCGTACTTAAAAGCACTGGTATTGAATTTTGCAAGATATCTCATTCCTGTAGCAGACATCGCGTACCTCGCTGTTCAGGTCGACGATAAGTCGGGGCATTTTACTTCTCGCATAATGACTTACTGCCATCTATTGAAAGTTCTAAAAACTTTGTTGCATTTTAATAAAATACCTAGTTTTATTTGAATAATTACATCTTAGTAGTTATATACCCTTCACACTTTGATGGTTTGGTCACCGATTCATAGATGGCACTAAAATAAAAATTTAAGTAGTTCAAGATATTAAAAAATAAGTAAACTGTATGCCAGTTGCTTTTATTAGGATCATAGGGGTTATACTATTTTGTCCTTTGCTGAGATACTCGGAATTCATTATCATCATCATTATTACAGGCCTTCACATGTCCAATGCTGAGCCTCCCCTAAAAAATGCCAAAAATACACGGTACTGAGCTACCCCCATCTGCAAATTCAGCTTATTGGCGTTTTGTAAAATTTTAAAATATTGTCACAGACAGTCTTTTGATAGCACAATTCGATGTACTTTGAGCCGCCACTTGTCGCCCCATCTTAAAATCTTGCAAGTCTAGATACGAACAAAGCTAGGTATCAGATGGTATACCAACTGTAGTCCTGAAGGTTTGTGGATCTGAGTTGTCTCTTGTGTCGAAACGCTTGTTCCCTCTCACTTAGAACTGGAACTGCGCCTAAATTCTGGTAGCTTGGCAATGTGCAGCCTATTCCAAAAAGGCTGCAAGATTATGGAGCGTATATTGAACACGACCTCATGATATACCTAGAGTTGAACGACCTCCTCAATGACTGACAGTATGGGTTCCGCCAGAATCTCTCGAATTTTTATAGTGCCACACACATATGGGGCGAGGCTTAAGAGTAGAATGGTTAAGCTATTGCTGTTTTCCTTGATGTCTCGAAAGCCTGAGGGGATCTAACACGCTAGCCTATTTGTAAAGGTGTCAGCGCACGGCTAATACACTGATCTAATCAGCTGGGTAAATGAATTTTTGAGTGAACGGTCTCTTCGAGTCATAGATTTTTTATAGAATAAGGGTGACAAACGAGCACACAGTTCACCTGATGGTAAGAGGATACTGTGGATTATAGACATCTGCATCTATCCTCCATATGGTATCAAAATACAGATGCGTTGTCACCCTTTACTAAAATGGAATGCTTTGTTTCCAGTAAAAAAGGTCTCCGGTTCTCTACGCTACACTCAACATAGGAAACACAGCCAAATTAAGCTGCTATTTTACGCTGGAATTCTGTGAGAGCGTGGTACTTTCCCGGTCGAGACGATTTAGCACATTCGTGCTACAATCATAATATAGCTGCAGCGTGGCTCTACCACATATAAAATGAGCCAATTCTTTAGTAATCAAGCAGCTCTTTGTAGAATCATCATTCTTATTAACATCGCAAATGTTAGAGAGACTTATACTCAACTTTGAAGTGTAGTTTTTATCTTGAAGAATACGTTTCTTGGCCTTTTAATATTCGACGCTTTTGTCTTTTACTTTGCTGCCTTCGATTAGCGGAGAAGGGGATGGAAGAGACTGACCCTTATGATCCGAGAATAGTAAGGACCACAAGAAGTATATAAAAATAAACAAACAAATAAATAACTTTTTTTTATAGTATAAGGGTGACAAACGAGCACACAGTCCACATGATGGTAAGTGGTTGCTGTGGCCCATAGACAACTACGAGTACAACTGTCTTCGTTTACGAATTAAAATGCAGATGCGTTGTCAGCCGTGAGGACTAAGATAGCATGCCTCTTTTCCAGTAAAAAGGTCTCCGGTTCTCTACACTCATCATACAAAACACAGCAGCATTAAGCTGCTATTTTACGCTGGTATTCTGTGAGAGCGTGGTCCTTTCCCGTTCGAGCCGACCCATTCGTGCTACAACTATACTATTAATATAGCTGCAGCATGGCTCTACTACGTAAAAACTGCAAATGATGGCTTGCGATTTTATGGAGATAAGCTGTGATTAAAAAATATGACGTTAATAACATTAACCCAAACCTTTTATTTTGTAACCTGGTGTAGACAATTGTGAGTTTTCTGTTGCATGGCGACAGAACTAGCTAAGAGGGACCTCAGACAGTGAGAAGGATCTCAGCGGACAGTCTCTGGGAGGCATTTTAATATAATTCGTCCCATTTTAAGCCAAATATTAAACTATTACAGGCTAATTATGTATAATGTTTGGGGAGAATACACTCAGACTAATGAAGAAGATTTATTAGTCTCAGGGAATAAGTATATCAAATTTTTATTCAAATGCGAACTTCATCTGTTAATCGATAGACGATTCTCTGTTGATCGAATTATGGTGGAATTTCATAGAGTGGTAATGGGGAGCTTCAAAAGGATGATAAACAGTTAGCGAAGCTCGTCGATAAAACCACAATATCTTCTTCAAGCTTCTTCCGACGTAAAGGCTGCCGGTCATACTATTGGCACACTACAAATCAAATCAAACAAAAGACGTGTGACTCAAATCCAATTAAAAAATAAATAAAAGTAATTTAATTATAGAAACAATATATGCGAGACGCGCAAGACGTGCATGTTGCACATGTAAAATTAAGATACTTATTGGTCCAACCAATAAACCGTAATTCTATTGGCATATCGAATAAAACTACTTTTATGAATTCACGTTCACGTTTGTAATAGTAGTGTATTGGGTCCACTATTAACAGACTCCGAGTGGTTTAGTGGCGAAGAAATGAAACTATAATAAAAACGATCAGGTTTCGACCCTCGAACGTTTTCTTGAAGTGCTTGATAGCCATGTAGATAGCGAGTAACTCTCGGACGAATCTACTGTAGCTACGTTGAGTATCGGAGAACTTCTTCGAAAAATAGCCAAGTGGTTGCTATTTCCCATTGATGTATTGTTGGAGTACAGCTCCCGCTGAGAGATCGGACGCGTCGCTGAAGATAGCAAGGGTTGCTTCGTGTGATGGGTGAGCGAGCAAAGCTGCATTTTGGATCGCAACTTTACAAGCTTCAAATGCCTTCGTGGCTTCATCGTTCCATCCGATTGACGTTTTATCTTTTTTCCTTCGTGTTGTGAAGGTAGGCGTGAAGTGGTGCTTGGATTTCAGCGGCTTTAGGTATGTGTTCTCTGTAAAAATTAATCATCCCAAGAAAACGCCTTAGTTCTTCGATTGTTTTAGGTTTTGCATAATCAATGATTGCTCTGACTTTTTAGTAGGCAGTTTGATTCCTTCCTTGCTGACGGTGAAACGAAGAAATTGAACTTCTTGTTGTCTAAATATACATTTCGAAGGGTTGATTGTGATTCCATTGTCTTCTAATCGCTGTAGCACGGTGCGTAGATGGGCTTAGTGCGTTTCTTTATCAGCGCTTGCAACAAGGAGATCATCAATGAATGCGAAAACGAAATCCAGTCCATGAAGTACTTCGTGTATGAATCTTTGAAAGGTTTGACCAGCATTCTTCAGTCCTGGAGTCATTCTTGGAAATTCGAATAATCCCATTGGGGTAATCATTGCTGTCTTCTCTATGTCTTCACCACGTACTTTTATTTGTTGATAAGCTCGATTGAGATTGATGGTGGAGAATACAGTCTTGTCCGACAGTTGATGAGTGAAATCCTTGACTTCAGTCTTCAGAATTCAGTCTTCTGTAATCTCCACAAACTCGTAATTCTCCATTCTTCTTCGGTACAACGTGAAGTGGTGATGACCAAGGGCTTTTGCTTGGACAGCATATTCCTTGGTCGATCATGTTTTCGAATTCCTTTCGAACTTGCTCG